GCCAGGAGGCGAACGACACCATTGTCTGAGCCCAGCAGGAGGTGGCGCTTGGTGGGCAGCAAGGCCAGGCTGGTGAGCGTGCCACGGAAGTTCTCCCAGCGTGCTCATAAGAACTATTGAGAGAGGAGGGATGGGGGTAGGGAGAAGCCCCTACCAGAGCCAAACCCTCCCTCAGCCCCCTCCCCTCCTTCCCTCACCTCCCAGCCCCCTCCCTCTGACCTCTCGACATCTCCCACACCTGCCTTCCCCCACCCCCTGGGGGGGGCCTCTCCTCACCACCAAGCAGGGGCCTTGCAGGCAGGACCAGCTGAGCACCAGAAGCCCCCAGAGTAGCATCATGTTCCTGTGTTGGGGACCGGAAGCCTCAGTTCCCACACCCCACACCCCTTCACGCCCAGCCTTCCGAATCCAATCTGCCACACACAGTGGACTGCAGAGCTCCATCCGGCTCTCAGAGGCTGGGGCGGGGGTGGGGGTGGGGTGTCTCCTTCCAGGACTTGGGTTTTAAGTTCTTGTAGCAGAGAACGTTTGGGTTAATGGAGATGAAATACTGTGAAATACACAAAACGCCCTTCTCTGTGGCCTGGAGTTATGAGCCAGGTTTGCCCGCTGCCAGGGAGTTTCACCAAAGTCCTTACTCCAAACCACTGCCCAGGGAAGCTTCCTACTCTCCAGGGGGGTCTGAATCCTTATAGGAGCAGACAGCCTCAGCTTTCTCCTGCACACTTACAGGTGGGTTTGAACCGCCAACCTTGTGGTTAGCAGTCCAACACTTAACCCATAGCACCACCAGGGTTCCTGCCAGATGACTGGCTGTCTGGAAACACTGAAGGAGCGCTTCAAGGTCAGAAGTTTGAAACCGGGAGCAGCCAGGAGGCGGACTCCTCTCTACGGCAGTGGGTTCGGTTTGGTAAACACCGAGTGTGACGCTTGGCGTTCCATCATCACCAATGTCAGTTTAGTTCACGATCCCCCTTATGGGTAGTCTATCTGAAAACAACACCCTCCTCCCCTCAAAAACCAGATCTTCCTCCACTGCCAGAGTCCCTACCCAGCCTGCTTTGCCACCAGCCAGCCTTCCTCTGAGGAGGGCAGGTATGTGGCGTGTGGCCTTCTATCTACACGGGGGCCAGACCTGAGAGCTGCCCTGCTGGCCCGCTACCGGGCCCAATGAATGACTCCAGCCAAAGCCATCCTTGGACTTTGGGGAGTAATAGGCCTCACTACTGTCGCCCTGCCCGGGCCAGCTCAGGAAAACCAGGCTTCTGGGTGGCCCTGGGATGGGCAGGTCTAACCTGGGAGGATAGACCAGCCCCAGAAGGGGTCCCAGAGCAGGGCCACCACCGATCTTAGGGCCACGTCATCGAGATGAGATGACCTTTCTATCACCCCTACCCCTGTACCTCCACCCTAGGCAGAGTCCTTGGCCTTGAGTGTTCTTCACACGAGAAGGCCTTCATTTCTTCAGGTCCCAGAGGGTGACACCGAGCACCTGCCCCTTCCCACCTGGGCTCCCCGCAGAGGGCCAGCCTTGGCTTCTCACCACCCCCAGGAGGCTGTGACTCCAATCCGCAGGCCTCCTGACCAAGCACAGCAGTCGGCACCAGCACCCAGCTCCTCACCTGGCCCCGGAGCAGCCGTACCTCTGCAGGCTCCTCACTGCTGCACACACCGTTCCAATGTTCTTCTGGTCCTGCAGGTGCTCCCACGCTCTGCTCGGCCCGGCCCTCCCCTCCCACCAGGACCTTTGCTCGGAGCCAACCCCTTTCCCGAACGCTCTCTCTTCTGGTAAATATTGACAAGCACATCCAGGTAAACATTGATATTGGGGCCAGAAGCCCCTTTCCCACCAGGCACCTGACCCGCAGGCAGACCCTGGAGTCCCCCTAGGTTTGGATCTCACCCACTTCTGGAGACAGAAGGGCCAAGGAGACAAGGGAGGAAGCTGGGCCTGGTCAGGTGAGGGCAGTGCTGGAAATGCAGGGCCAGCCCTGTGTCAAGCTTCCCAGGGGCCCTCTAGGGCCTGTTTTTGCCAGGTTCAGAGAGCTTCCACAGAGCTAGGACCAGGGACACATCTAGGTCCCTGCATCCAATGTCCTCCCCTCCCCACACAGCCCAGGAGAGGGAAGAGAAACTCCCTTCCAGACAGCATTCCACTTGGCTGCCTGGAGCCTCTCAGAGCAATGCCTTCTGAACCTCCCCAAGGGCGATGGTTCTAGAAACTGGTCTGGGGCTGCACACACCAAAGACCCCACTTCATGCCACCCAGAGAGCCATTCACCGCTCCCCCTGCCCCAGAAGCTGCTGGATCTCAATGCTCCCCCTTGCCATCACCATCAAGCACAGTCTCACGCCACTCCACGGATTTTCCAAAGTTTTATTGGTCCTATTTATAGCTATTGCAAATAGCGAGGAGGCAGCCGGGCCGAGTCTCAGACCTCATCTACTCCGGTGCAGACGGGAAAGCCTGGGTCTCCCTTCCCATGCAAGACTGCAGGGGCAGAGACAATTCCTCCACCCGTACTTGCTCTCTCAGAATCTTGGGCCCTCCATGCCCCCAGAGGGCTTGTGGGCCTCCGGGCCACCTCCTCAGCTCAAGGCACAAACACTGTGGGTGGGGCGGGGTCCTGCTTGGCTGGCAACAGCTGACCCAGCCCATCTTCCCTCCCACAGGCCGACACCTCCCTCCCCCCACCGCCCACTGGTCCCATACCGGGCAGGGTCTGGCTGGGTGGACACTAACACCTCATACCAGAGCCCTAACTCCTGGCCCGTGGCCAGTACCACCAACCCCCCCAAGGCTGGAGTCAGCACCATCAGTACCCTGGATGGGGGTAGTGTCCTTGTCCTTGTGGAATAGGGACAGAGGGAGTCCAGTAAGGGAGGGGTTCTTGGCTGGAGACTGGCTTGGCAGGCCCGTGGGAATTGGGAGCAACAGCTACAGCCCCTGCTCTCCCGCTCACCCCCTGCTGGCTGGGGGCAGCATCTCACCAAGCCTGGAGTACTCGTAAAACATCTTCGGGCAGCCTTGGTGGGTTTGGGGCTTCAGGGACCCTGGGCACAGCCCAGTTGGCGGTCCCAGCTGGCATGCCAGGTGGGTCCACAGGGAATGGGGCCCAAGGTCCGCCTGCAGGGAAAAGCCAGGGGGGGACCAAGAGTGAGGGGTACACTCCATGGGGGTGGGCCCCAACCCAGGCCCACTATGCCAGGAGGCGAACGACACCATTGTCTGAGCCCAGCAGGAGGTGGCGCTTGGTGGGCAGCAAGGCCAGGCTGGTGAGCGTGCCACGGAAGTTCTCGGAGCTGAGCTTGGTGGTGGCCTGGGAGGGCGGCTCGAGCAGCGAGCAGACGCCAATCTTGTTGGCCACGGTGCCAGTGACCACCTCGCTGCCGTACAGGTCGAAGGTATGGATGGGGTCGGACGCCGACTTGTAGTGGTGTGTGGGCTTCTGCTCCAGCTCCTTCCAGACAGTCAGCGAGTGGTCGGAAGAAGAGCTGACCAGGATGCTGCCCTCCACTGCCTGCGGGGGTGGGGGATGGGGAAGCCTCAGCAAGGGGGCTTCCCATCTCCAGCGCAGCCCCTCACTGGGAACACCTGTGTGCTGAACAGGGCTAACCTGCTCCCCGCCACTGCCTGAGAACTTACTACACACCACACGTGGGCGATGCAGCGTTACGGGTATAATTTCCGAATAATCCTGCCCCCGTTTTGCAGAGGAGAAAACGGAGGCTGGGGGAGGGGGTGGGTGGCATTAAGCAATCAGCCCAAGGTCACAAAGTGAGCAAATGGCAGAGCTCACCCCCAGGTTGGCGCCTTCTCACAAGGTGAGGATTTTTAGGCACCTGGATCCCAGGGGCCCTGGGGCAGCCAGACCTCAGCAGTAGCAGTGGCAGTGCCTGGCCCCTGGCCTCCGTCCAAGAGGCAAGAGTCCCAGTTACCTGGAGAAATCCTCCCACAGGTAACATAGGTCTGCCCGTGAGGGGGCGTGAACTCTGCCCTGTGGGCTGTCAGCAGCCTCTCCACTGGGCTCCGTTTAACCAGAGTGAGCTAGGTCACAGACCGGACCCGACCCCTGACCCTCCAAGTAAGGCAAATATGGACAAGGGTTACTCATTAGAGCCTCTCCAGGAAGCAGCCGAGTCAGCGCTGGCCCTGGCTCCTGCCCCTGCCCTTGCCAGCTGGCCGTTTCCTGAGCTGGCCCTACCCCTCCGTCCTTGAGCAGGTGTCCAAAGAGGTGAGGGATGTGGCAGGGGCAGGGGCGGCCTGGGCAGTAAGGACAAGGGGACTTGGACTTTCACCTTGATCTGCAGGATGTCCCCCTCATGGGCTGGCCAACCACGCAGAACTAGGCCGGTGCGGGTGTCCAGCAGCACCATGAAGCCCGAGGAGAAGCCGGCCACCACACTGCGGCCACTGGGGCTGACGGCCAGGGAGCGCACAAGCCCTGGGTTCAGCCCGCCACCCAGGCGGAATTCATGCTGCAGGGAGAGGGAGACAGTGAAGGGCTGCCTGCCGCCCGCCCCACTGCCTCTCCTATGGGTCCTACCCCACGGGCCAAGCCCAGAGGGGGCCGCTGGGAAACTCCTGGTGTTCTCCTGCTCCTCCCACCTCCCATCACAGGCCATGTCCCCGCCCTAGGACTCGCTGCTGTCCAGGGACCACACCCTAGCTGTCTCTTTGTGGACGCCTCATCCATCCCTGCCAGGTGGCCCTGTGAACAGACCTGCAGGCCAGGCTTTCTGCAGTCCATGAAGCGCAGGGTGGAGTCCGAGCTGGCCATGGTGATGCTGGTGTATGGGGCGGGCATGACAGCCACGGCAGTCAGGGGCACCCGGCTGTCCGATGGCTCCACTGTGCGAACGGCCTTCCCTGGGAGGAGGCGAGCAGTGGATCTGGGTCCCAGCGGCGGGTGCCAAACCCTGGTCCCCTCCTAGCCTGCCGACCCCTCCCCACCCCCCTGCCTGGCTCTCTGGCTACCCCAGACCCAACCTCCTACAGCCGGAGGCTCCAGGGGCCTCCAAAAAAGGGTGAAGATGTTTCCATGGCCTTCCACCTTCCTGCTTCCGTAGCAAAGGCTACCTCAGTCTTATGCGCCCTATTTCTCCCTGAGACAATGCCAAACCGGACACCAACAGCCATTTTCCAAACACTCGGTGAGTGCCCGGGGTGGTATTGGCAAAGCCAGACCCCTCCATGAGGAACTATGACCTGCTGGCCTAGTGTTCCTGATCCCCCACACCCCCATCTCCAGGTGCGCAGAGGGGTGCTTGCAGCCACCAAGTGACTTACTCAAGGCCCCTCCATTCAAACTCAGGTCCAACAGACTCCAAGCCTTCACGGTTCCTCTGTGCAACCGCCCCCAAACCCCCCACGCCACATTAGCCCCCCTCCCCCCGGCAGGGCACAGGCTGACGGCAGCAGAACAGGCCTCACCTGGGCCCGCTCACCTGTGAAGGGGTCCCAGACGTGCAGAGCCCCGTCACAGCTCACCACATACTGTGGGGCCTCCAGCTGGCCCACGTAGAAGACGCTCTTGCGGTGCTGTGCATAGACCAGGCGCGGGGCTGTCTCGCTGGTGCCGTCCCCATAGTTGTATAGCGGCCAGAGGCGCACCGTCCGGTCCTTGCTCCCGCTCAGGAAGAAGTCCTCGCTGCTAAGGGGCGCCACGCACTTGACAGCCCCCGAGTGACCGGGGAAGCTCTGCAGGCGGATCTGGTGGAAGTGGAAGTGGGCGTCCTGCTGGCTCACGCCAATCTCGTACTGCCAGTATGCTAGCCAGTTCCCACTCAGCCCATGCGCGCTGCGTGGCAGCTCCCGCTTCAGGGCGTGGTCCTCACCGCTGCTGCCACCGCCACTCAGGCCCCCGCCACCCACCCCGCAGCTGGGGCCAAGTGGGCCGGGGCTCTCGGGCTGCGAGTCTGTGGGGATCTGGATTCGATTCCCAACCAGGACGCTCCCAAAGGTCCCCGAGTGGCTGTCATCGTGGGGGCAGCCCCTGCCCTGGGCGTCCCACTCAGGGCCGCTGCTGGGCATGGCGGGTGCCACGCTCGCAGGGCTGCAACTGTTTGGGCGGATGCTCTCCAAGTACAGCCCCGCCAGCTGCCCAACCAGCTCGTGGTTGGGGACGACTTTGCGGATGATGTCACCTGCAGGGAAGCAAGAGCTGTTGTAAGTGCAGGGGGACGTGACACGGAGCTGCCACCACCCCTCCCGAGGCCCGGGGACCATCGGAGGCAGAGCAAGGGATGGGCTGTGTAACCGGTCACGTTGCTCTTCGCCTGTGTACATGTGATTCGCCCTTTCAGTACAGAGGAACAGAGCAGTGCCCGTGGCACCTGCTGGCCCTGTGTCTGTGCCCATGCATGTGCCGGTCTGTGTACGTGCCCAGGCGGGGCTGGCACAACCAGGCAGAGAGCAGTAAACAGGACAGCTGCTTCTCTGCTCTCACCAAGCTCTTGTTTCGGCAGAAACGCCTAATCACAGACGACACACACAAATGCCCAGGGTCTGGCCTCTAGGCAAACAGCACTGCCGTGGCCGATGCTGGAAGGAGGAGCTGCCCACATGGTTTCCTGGGCTGCCGGCTTTACGGTAGAGATCAGCAGACGTTTCTTTCGTGGGGCTAGTGGGAGGGTTAAAACTGCCGGCCTTTCCTTTGGTCAGCAGTGGGGCACACATCAGGTATGCCCCCCAGACCTCGGCCATATGTTGTTGGTGGGTGCCCTCCAGTCAGATCCCACCCTTAGGGACCCCGGATACAACAGAACGAAGCACTGGCTGGTCTTGTGACATCCTTACCCTTGTTAGGGTGTTTGGGGCACGGTTGCAGCAAGCTTGCCTGGAGGCGACTGTTTAGGGCGCGCCCATTCCCTCTCAGACGGCTCCTAGAGACTCTCCAACATCCACCTGGCTCCCCTGCCTGTCCCTAAGGAGCCCCGATACTACTGGCTGGGCCCAGTGCCTTTCCTGCTGGCCAACGCGCTGTCGCCGTTTACACATCACCGTGGAAGTCCGCACGTGAGGCCAAACCTCTGCTCTGGCCGAGACAACTGTACTTAACACCCACTACTGCTTGTGGGGTCAGGCGAAGCATGGGGCACTCCTAGGGGTGAGAGGAAGCCACACAGGTTGTCCCTGGCCCCAGGGGACAGTACCCAGCAGGCAGGAGAAGGGCACATAGATCGTGTAGGCCATCTCCACGGTGAACACCTTCTGCAGCTCCTCCAGCAGGCTGGGGTCCACAAGCTGCTGCTGCCCATTGGAGAAGGCCACCTCCGGCAGCTGGCCCTCGCCACGGCCCACAGGATCCGGCTTCAGGTTCTGGGGGCAGCAAGCAGTCAGCCGAGCACCCCTGCAGCTGCCCCAACTCCCCCCACAGCCAGGCCAGCAGGCCCGCTCACCTGATGCCGGAGCTCATGCAGCTGGGAGAAGACCTGGAAGAAGGTGGCCACGGGCTCACTCAGGTGCTGCTGGACCATCTCCTGTCCTATGCGCAGGCAGATGAGGGCGATGAGGCTGACGGTTTTCACACACAGGACGGTGCGGGCCTGGGCTCCACTCGGGAAGCTGGGGAAGGAGCACACCGGCTCAGCGCCCACCCGGAGGCCCTCAGCCAGCTACCGGCAGCTCTGCAAGGCCAGCCCGTCTGAACCCGATGAGGGGTGGAAGGCTGGGGGGTGGGACTGGGCAGCCTGCTCAGGGTCACCCACTTAGAAACTCAACCAGGGATTCCCGATGTGCCCCACCCCCACCCCCCAGCCCGGAAACAACACACACCAAGCCTGTGACCGTCAGGCCTCATGCGGACCCTGTGTGTTTCCAGATGAGCACAGAGTCCCGCTGGGTTTTCTGGGCTGTGATCTTGACGAGGACGTCACCAGGCCTATCGGCCACGGCACCGTGGGGTGGGTTTGAACCACCGTCCGTTCGGTGAGCAGCCAAGTGCAAACGGCGGGGGCCACTCAGGGCCCTTCCTGGCACCCAGCCTCCCCCGTGTCTCCGGCCCCTCCTGGGGTCTCCCTGGGCAGAGGCCTACCCCGTGACGAGGGACGTAAGGAAGCCGAGCACGGGCAGCAGGACCTCGTGGCTGATGCGGGGGAGGATGTCCATGAGGGTGGTGTCTGAGAGGTACACGATGAGCTTCTGGGTCAAGGTCACCGCTGCCAGAAGCCCGGCCTCCTTGCGGCTGTTCAATCGGGTGGGGCCTGAAGTGCCGCCAGGGGCCACCTAGGGCCACACGGCAGATGAAGGCCTCCCTTCCACCCCCGGAGCTGCTGAGCCAGCCCCAGAGCTTCCCAGCCTCCCCCCACCCTGGCCAGTGACTGACCAGGTAGCTGATGTAAGGCAGGTACTGGTAGGTGAGGACAGGCTCCCCGTACAGGTGGGCGATATGGAGGAGGCAGCTGAGCACAGGCCCCGACACCACGTCACCGAGCACCGGTCTCTTCTGGTATATGTTCCCGGCACTCAGCGGGGGGCTCTCGCCACTGCTCGCCGTGAACTGCTGCCGAGTGGGCCCTGCGAGAGAGGAGCCAGCTGCCTGGAGTAGCCAGCGGTGGGCTGGGGCCCCTGGTGGCTCTGCTCCCAGGCCTTCCCAAGGAAAGGGGGCAGGCAGGTGGGCATACAGACCGGGGCCCGGGAGGCAAGGGGCAGGTGGAAGCAGCAGCCGGGCAGCAGCAGTGGCACAGACCACGGGCCTTACCCACGTAACAAGATGTCAGCAGGCGGAGCAGGTTCCGGGCCACGTGGCGGGAAGCCACCGTGGGACCAAGTTTGGCGGACAGCCAGCGGACCATCTTGCAGGCTGTATCTGCAGGGCGGGAGTAGGCCCTGAGCTCACCAGATAGCACCCTGCTTCCCTGCAACCCCCACCCACCATCTCTGGCAGTGACTGGCTGCCCAGGGGCCCCATCTCGTCCTCATCACCCCACCCTACCACCCTCCATCTTGCAGGGACAGAAGGTGCCCAGGTCTGGGCCTTGGGGTCTCTGGGTTTACAGCTGCCCCAGGCCCCCTTCTCCAGCAAGCAGAGAACTCCCCATATGCCGGCACAAGGCCTGGCCCGGCCTTAGTTACTCCCTTGGGGGCCTCTGTGCCCACCCTCTTTCTCCCCACCCCTCCCCTTGTCTTCCCAGCCTGGCCTCGTCCTGAGGGAACCACAGGAGTTTTAGAACCTCTGCCCAGCAGGCTCCTCTCGCTTCCTCTGTGCCATTCCTGCCCCGCTGCCTCCTGCTCCTTAAATCTTGTTGACCACTGCCGCCTTTGCACCTACATCCCTCCCAACAACACAGACTGGCTACCTGACGACCACAGCCTGGCCTGATCTACGCGGTCTGCACCATCCCCTCGTCTCTGCCTGCGAGTTCCAGCCTGCGGCTCTGCCACCCCCCACCCCCAGGCCTGGGCACAGAATAGGTGCTCACTCTGGGACAGGCGGGGGTGGGCCGGCCCTGCCCAGACACCAACCCATCCCTCACCCCGACTCACCGAGGAGGATCTCCTGTTCTTTGCCCTCTGCCTGCTCGGCCAGTGGCTCTTCCTCTTCCTCCCCGTGGGTCCGGCCCCCGGGCTCCGCCGTGTCCATGGACAGTACCGTATCGGAGAGGGCAAGCTCCGGCGCGCCAGTGACCTCGTCCTGCTCTCCCTCCCCCTCTTCCTCTAGCACCACGCAGCCTTCCTCCTCCTCCTCCATCTCCTCTTCCTCCGAGCCCTCGCTCTGCTTCAGGTCCTGGCTGCTGTCCCCCGACTGGAGGCTGCTCTTGTCCGCAGGGGCACCGCCCTCGTCCGCAGCCTGCTCCTCGCCCAGGGACGCCTCGCTGGCACTGCTCTTATCACTGAGCCGGCCCAGGCTCACGGCCTCAGCCTCCGGGGCTTGTGGCGACTCGGCCACGTACAGCCCCGCTTGGAAGTCCTCGGTCTCGGGGAGGTCGGCCTGGTCGTGGAAGCTGACGCCGGACGTGTAGTCTGGCAGCCCCAGGCCGGAGGCGGCGGCCTCGGGCTCCCCATCCATCGGCATCTCCTCCCCAAAGGCACAGGGCCCGGGCCCAGTCGCGGCCAGCCCGCTCTCTTCATCCTCCACAGCCCCGGCCAGGCCCTTCCCTTCCTCCGGGGAGGCCTCCCCACCGGCCAGCACCTGCAGGACGTGGGGCAGCAGGTGGACCAGAAAGGCCTGCAAGCCCAGGCGCACCATGAGCTGGACCACGAAGCAGTCTGTGTACAGGTAGAAGCGGCCGTGGAGCCGGCACGGGCTCTCGTAGGCACCGATGAGTGGTTTCAGTAGGTACTTGTTGGCGTTCTTGGGGCCCAGCGCCTTGGCGACGGGTTCAAAGAGGTACCAGGCCGTGTGGACAGCCGTGTACTCCTCGGACATGAGAGACAGCACAAAGGGAAGCAGGATCTCCAGGCCCTCGGGGGTGATGTCACTCAGCACCGGGCCCAGCTGCTGCCACAGAGCGAACACCAGCTCTCGGCCCTGCGCCTCGTCCTCCACGCGCCTGGCCTGGTACAGGAGGATGAATTTGTGCAGCGCCGGAAAGTAGGGCGGGAAGGGGACCACGGAGCTGAAGGGGCTGAGCAGCTGGGCCGGGCAGGGTGGGGGCAGGCCCTGGGAGACGGGCCTGTACTCAAACAGCAGGTCCAGCTTGCCCCACTCTCCAGCCCCGGGTCCTTCAGGCCCGCTCAGCTGCAGCAGGGAGTCCAGCACAGGCTGCAGAGACACGGGGACGTCTTTGGGGTGGCGCGTGCACAGATCCCGCACAGCCTGGAAGCGCACCCACAAAGGCGCGCCAGGCCGCAGCGTGCGGACCCTGGTGGCGAAGACCATCTCAGCCAGCAGGACCCCCAGCGCCTGCATGTCCCGATGGAAGAGGTTCCGCAGCTGCACGGGTGGCCGGACCTGGGGTTGCGCAGGCGCATCCAACCGGCCACCCAGGCCTTTGCTCAGGAAATGGCCCAGTTTCTCCAGCTCCTCCAGAGCCTGCACGGGACTGAAGCCCTCTGGAAGAAGGATCTTCCCCTCCTCGCTCTCCCCAGGCTCGTTCCCGGCAGCTTTGCTCCTGCGGCCTGGCCGGGAGGCTGCGGTGACGGCAAAGGCCAGGAGGCCGGTGGGGACTTGGCTGGCAGAGGCAGAGCCCAACTGGTCGCCCACTTTCCCAGGCAGGGAGATGGAATCCAGAGCTTCCGTGGCCTGCTCCAAGTCGTCTTCCTCCAGCCCCGGGCTGTCCCTGGTCCAGCCTGCCTCGCAAGGCGTCGCCTCCAAAACCAGCCTCCTCACCCCATCGGCTGGCTGTCCCGGCAAGTCCTCCCGGCCGGTGGTCTCCTGGACGGGCTGGACCAACAGCCGGGGGATAAGCGGAGGCTCGGGGGCCAGGGAGGGTGTGCCAGCCAGGCGCTGGGGATGCGGCTGGTCGAAGAGCTGCACGACCCCATAGCTGGTCAGGTGCGTGTGGGCGTCCACCAAGTGCAGACACACGTTCTTCTCCTTCACCGCCTCCTTGCCCTGCAGCTTGTAGCCGAAAGTGAGGTCAATCCAGTGGTGCAGGTCCTGGGACACCTCGCGGCTCTCCAGCAGCGCCCGGTGGGCAGCCACAAACTCTTGGCTGGAGCGGCACCAGGCCGGCACATCCAGGTCAGGCATGTCAGGATGGATGGAGCAGAAGATCGAGGGGTCTGTGTAGAACTCGGGGATGCACTCATCGGGGGTCCAGCTCTGCATGCGCTCCATGCTGGCCGGGTACTCGTGGGGCTCCCACTGCGCCCGGACGTGGCCACAGAGCACTGCACGGGGTGTGCGCCGAGCTTTGTACACGTAGTACGTGATGTCGGAGAGCACGTCTGAGATGTGGTGAGGCACGTGAGGGGGCTCCCCGCCGCCCGCACCGCCGGCCACAAACGCCTGCCGTGTCATCTCGTAGGTGAAGTCCAGCTGCTTGTCGCCCTTGTTGAGGCGGAACTTGGACTTGCGCAGGTCCCGGAAGCGCCCGTGGGGCGTGGTGAAGTCCACTACCCAGGGCAGCACCGGGTGGTAGTTGGGATCACCCTGCCGCCGCCCAGCCAGCCGGTTCAGCTGCATGAGGTAGTGGAAGTTGCTGATGCGGCCATGGACCCAGTCTCCCACGAGGTTCCTAAGTTCCTCTTGGCAGGTTAGACACCCGGGCCCCGCTTCCCTCCCGTGCCCAGGCGCAGGGCCCGGCCTCTCCCCTGCTCCAGGGCTCTCTGGGTCTTCGTCCTCCAAGGGCCGCTCATACGCACTCAGGTCCAGCCGGAGCTGGCTGCAAAGCTTCTCATCCAAGGCGATGTGGTGCAAAGTCAGGGCCCCGCAGGCCAGCCCCCGGAGGTGACAGGCCTTCATGGCCCGCAGCACCCGGAAGAGAATGAAGAGCACCTTGGCTTGGCTGTTGGTCAGCTTGTTAGGGCTGAAGGTGACCACGTCATGCAGGGAGAACTGCGCATACGGATGGACCACGTAAAGCATCTCTGGCGACTCCAGCAGGGCTTCGGCCTGCAGAAGGCTGGGGCAGGCTGGGCTGCCTCGAGCTGGGCAGGGCCCATCTCTGGCATACGCTGGGCATTGGGTTGCCCCTTCCCCCACTGGCATGAAGGTGCAACCATAGACCTTTTGCAGTGCCTGCCTCACTAAGTCCAGGGCAGGCCCAGCGCAGGGGGGCGGGCTATGGCTATAAGGCTGCCCGTAAGTGTGGTACGCGTGGCGCCACAGGTTGCGATAATTCTGCGCAGCCACATCCTGCATGAAGCGAGTAAGGGTCTCCGGGCTACAGGAACCCTCCTCAAAGGGCAGCCCCCCGGCTAGTGAGTAGGAGAGTCTCCGCTTCCGCAGCCCGTGAACCTCCACGCGCGTCCACCCCGAGGGCAACCTCTGCACGGAGCGCTGCAGGAGTGTCCTGACTTCCGCCTCACTCAGGCCCTCGGCCCGGGGGCAGGGGCCCGGGGGCAGCCGGCGCTCACGGAGGCTGGCCAGCCAGCGCACAGGCACCAAGGCCACCACGTGGGTGCCCGCCGGGGTCGCGGCTAGCTGCCGGACATAAAGGCCTGCAAGCCCAGGCGCACCATGAGCTGG